TGGTAGATTTTAAAATAGGTTTGGAGTAAGGAAGTTGAACACCATTTTGCATTTGCATTTCTCCAAAAGGGAAGTTCAGTGTATTTTTTAACCACCCGTGAAACACAAAAGCAGGTTGTCGTAAGTCTGTTATGTCTGTTACTTCTTGTCTTGCTTAGGAGATGATTCTGCAGTTTTAAGTTTAGTCATTTCACGACATGTGGCAGCAGAGCTGTTCGCTCCACACTCCTGCGTTTTGAAATTATAGGATATATTGGAAAATAGGTGGGCAATGAATGAATCATCCTCTATTGGATGCTATGGTTATTCCAGCTGAGGAAGAGAACTCTGTACCAAAGGCACTTTGAAAACATTATCTTACTCCAGAATAAGAATGCCCAAGAAAATCTATCCTTACGTCTTTCCTTCTGAAGCAGGGCGACCTACAAAGACATACCCCTGGGAAGCCTCAAGCATGCAGAAAAATGGCTTACCTTCAGCAGCCCAGAAAGGCCGCAACAGGGAACAAGGAAGACCTGTGCCGTGGAACCCTATAAGCAGGGGGGCAGAATACAGGAGCAAGCGCTCGCTCTGCCTGGCGGGCTTTAAACTGAAGGAAAGTTACCAGCTTGCACATAGCTTAAACTGGAATGGCCATGGAGGCCCTCCTGTGGAACCGGCAGGAGAAAGGGAAATTTCTGAGCTGCTCACGTTGATTGCAGAGAAGCTGTTACAGCAGAAAGTTGCCTCCATTCTCTGCAAGCCTCTCTGTCAGTCTGGGACATACCCTCAGGAGAAAGGCAGAGGGATCTGACTCATATAGAGCCACTGAGAAGCTTGTAACCAAAGCGTCCTCTCCCTTCTTAGCAGTATGAAGTCTGGGAGATCTCTTCTCCCCCCACCCCACGCGAACAGGCTTTGCCTACCTCTGGCCAAGGGAGAAGAACCTTCCTTTCTGGCCCAGTGCATTGGAGTGAGGAAAATGCCTTTAAGCTCTGAGTGCACCTGTTCCTTAGCAGCTTAAAGAGTCTTTGGGGGGAATTAATTAGAATTAGAGGAAGCACTTCCTCCAGCTCCCTATCTGCCTGCTGAGGACTCTTAAGCTGCAGTGCATCGAGAGTCTTGAACAGTTCACAGCAGTGATGACCACTTAGTGGCTCGGGAACCCCACGTGGCTCTTCCACATGCCATCTGTGGCTCTGAGTCCTGACTGCCATTCGCCAGCATGTTTCCGAAAAGTAGGCAAGGCTATTCCCCGGTGGGGGGTGGGGTGGTTGGCAGGTGTTTCCCGCTGAGCGCAGAGGGAGGTTCTAACCACCCTCTTGCAACACCGGAGTTCAACTCGAAGGGAACTTCTTAGCATAAGGGAGGCATATATCTTTTAACATTCAGCCTAATAGTTCTGGAGAATGTGGAAGCTTTCACATCGCTGTGTGTGCTAATTCTGACTTGAAAACACTTCACCTCCCTCCAGATACATAAGGGCTGGCTAAGGTTCAGCCGTGGTAGGGAGAAGAAGAAGAGAGAAGAGATTGGATTTATACCCCGCCCTTCACTACCCAAAGGAGTCGCAGAGCAGTTTACAATCTCCTATCCCTCCCCCTCCCCACAACAGACACCCTGTGAGGTAGGTGGGGCTGAGAGAGATCTTTCAAGAACTGCTTTTTCAAGAACAGCTCTGATAGAACTTGTGACTGACCCAAGGTCACACCAGCAGCTGCATGTGGAGGAGTGGGGAATCAAACCCAGTTCTTCCAGATTAGAGTCCGCGCTCCTAACCACTACACCAAACTTGCTCTCAGTTTGTAACCCCTATACCAAACTGGCTCTCAGAGGCAGTACTGCATGCTCAGAGGTACGCTGGCAAATTGCAAAGGTTATACATTTTATATCAACATGCATATCCTATTGGCTGTGTGCATTTGGTGGGGAGGCACACGGCAGACGGTAGTCATGTCGCTCTTTTGGTTGATAATAGTTACAAATGTGGCTCTCTCTGTGCTGTGGTGTGAGTACCACTGGTTTACAGATCCTGGGGGAAATTAAGGTCAGGACTGGAGGGTGCATTTCTTCTGGCAGACAGCCACCCAGCCCCAGTTTCACTTAAAACCACCGTATGCAGCAGGAGGTGGGATGAATTTTTTTAAAAAATCTCCCTCTGTACCGGATGGCTTCAGGAGTGAGGAGGAAAGTGGGAAAGGAACATTTCCCCTAGCCTCCGAAACAGTGTCCTCTTCGGCTAGCTGGCAGCTAGCCTCAAGGTGGTCTCTAATGCTGAAAATTTGGGGGTGAGGGTTAAACACCTTCAAGTCCATTCTGCTAAAGAAAGTTCAAGGCTACCAGCCCGAAACCTTTGCCATTTCGTGTTACGTAGCAGAGCATGGAATGTTTCAGGAGGACAGGAAAGAGAAGTAGTGCCCCTTTTATTTATTTCTCTCTTTTTTTTGGGTGCGTATTTGTGTGTTTTTTTTCCACTAGTGCACAACCCAGCCAGCCAGCTCAGTTTATTCGGTGTATCACCAGCCCAATTACAAACAATACAAAAGGGTACCAATAATATATATAAAATATTTAAATATAAAACTGCGTTTGATCTGCATATGTTAATTACAAAATTACTAAAACTCTAAATTTCTACAATACTGTATCAACTGTTATTCAACTGTTGAATAAATATTATAGAGGTTATACAAGTCTACTCCCTATCTCCTAAGTCTTCTGCATTCTTTCTAAAATTATACTACATGTGCAGCCCGTATTTTTTGGGCTAGCGTATTTGTGTGTGCGCGCGCGCATGCATGCACGCCTGGAAATCATGGTTGACTTCTGGCAACCCGTAGTGGGGCTTGGACGTTTCAGGGAGTGGTCTTGCGATTGGCTTCCTCTGCATCCCAGCCCTGGTATTCCTTGGGGGTCTCGCTTCCAAGCACTTGCCAGGGTCGGCCCTGCTTACCCTCCAAGATCGGGCTTGTCTGGGCTGTACAGGTCAGGGTCTTTTGTTTCTTTCCATGTCTGTTTACTTTGCAAGCCCCAAACAGGGCACACAGCGGACATGGACATTTGTTGGGTCCTGTTCCCCCTGCCTCTGCCGCCATTATAGCCCTGTAATCAGGACTTCATGGTCATGCCTGACAAAATAAAGCTGGCGCTGTTGAGTCTTTATCTGCAAGTTTTCAACAGCTAATATTTCAGCATTCGTACAGAGTTCTTTAATTTTTAATGGTCCTCCTGCTCCCCCCCCCCTTCTGTCTTTTATCCAAGAGTTTGGCTTTGAGCAGAGAACAAAAGTGGCTTTCCCCCCCTCCCTGTTCTTGTAATTTTCAGAGGTTTCCAACGGATAAAGCATACTTCATTGCGAAAGAAGTGTCCACGACAGAACGAACATACCTGAAAGACCTTGAAGTCATCACATCGGTATTTTTTAAAAAAATTGCCTTGAATGTAAAACAGGACTTGATCGTTACCATTTGTCTCTCCATTTGATTTGTACCTATTCATCTTCTACAATGAGTTTATCTTCTGCCTTGGTAGAAGCCTCCCCTTCTTTGCAGCGCTGCTAGAAGGCGTTTGTGGTGAGGTCGTAATTGGAGTTACCAACTGCAGGAAACTGGGGTTGGGGTGGGGCTTTAAAATGGGGGCCTGTTTTAATTTTTCTTTGTCTTTTTAAAACCCAATTTGCTGCCGTCCTTTTAAAGTTAACACTTTGGATCTCAGATTTCAATTGTATGGACACGGTTTGTAAGACTCTCCTCCAGCCTTGCTGGCCCTACCCACAGAGCTGTGTTCTTAGAGCTCTTCTTTTATTGCCTGTCATTCCAGCAGGAAAAATTCAGACGCCTTTTTTGACACATGCGAGAATCACAGGCTGCCCGCGTGATGAATGGCAACTGTGATCTCACGACAAAACCTTAAATCTTGTGGGCTGCAGGAGAGCGGCTGCGGCTAGCCTGTTGCAGCAAAGAGACGTGCAGGCTGCTCACGTGATATTTAATGTGCTGCTCCTTCCCTGTACCCTTCTGGTAGGGAGAAATTTAGGGCTCTTTTTGTAGCAGGTACTCCTTTGCATATTAAGCGACACACCCCTAATGTAGCCAATCCTCCAAGAGCTTACAGTAGCTCCTGTAAGAAGAGCTCTGTAAGCTCTTGGAGGATTGGCTACATTAGGGGTGTGTGGCCTAATATGCAAAGGAGTTCCTGCTACAAAAAGAGCCCCGGGCCCTCAAGGTTTGTATAGCACTACTTTCCATGGAAAGGGAAGGCGTGAACCCGAGGCCCGCTCCTGATCTCTCCCTGCCGCCTCCTGAGATGGAGGCTTCATGTGAACGGGGCTGAATGCTACGACACTTTAACACAATAATTGGTTTCTTGTGGTGTGAGTTCTCATAGGCTGTATAGTGTACCGTGTGGGATTAGGAACCCAGAAAACCCAGATTCAGTTTCCCACTTGGCCACAAAACTCTCTGAGTCACCTCAGGCCACTCATTATCTTTCAGCCTCACCCACTTCACAGGGTGGTTGTGAAGATAAAATGGATGAGGGGAGGGGGGGAAGCAAGTATGTGGCCTTGAGCTTCTCAGGGGAAGGGTGGAATGCAGGTATGATTGATAGATCAGAAAAGGGCATGATGGGTTGCTTAGATATGCCACTGTGAATAGTCCAAATGAAAAGTTGGGATTACCCATTCCTGGGTTCTATAGTTCTATTTATTTTTAAAGCAAATACTGGTTTTCCACTGTTCTGAAAGATCTAACAGTAGATGGAGCCTTCCCTTTTAATTCACACATCAGTGTATCTGTTTCTGAACCCTGCCAGAGAGGATGTGATCAATACTGCCACAAAACAGAGCGTGGTGTGTGTGTGTACAAACCTGAAGTCCTAAAATTGCAGAAAAATCGGAAATCTAAAAACAAATACGTTGAGGGATTAAAAAACCCCAAAGTAACAGAAACAGTGCCTGTAACTTTAAGAAAAGAATGCCCACGGTGCTGTTGGGAGTTGCCAGACAACCACAATAACATTGACAAGTGTTTCTGTCTGTAAAGCAAAGTGGGGGGGGGGGGCAGGAATGGGGTGGGAGGCAGAAACAGCCCCCCCCAAAAAAGATCCTGCCACCCCTCCACTTTCATGTCTCCTGATGGTGGAAGACTTGCCAGAGACAGGCCCAGTGACAATTCCTGGAAACTCCTTACCTCCACAACTCAACCTGACCCACTGGCTGCAACTCAGCCAGCCACTGTACAACTGGACCCGGCTACTATACAACCCATCACGCAGCCTGGCCAGACTGTATTTGGTAGTTTGGCCAGAGGCAAATAAAGGTAGGCTAGCTGGTAGGTGGGAAGGAAAGAAGGAAGCAGACCCAGTGGTGGTAGCCACCATGACACTTGTCCCGGCAGCAGCAACTACTACACGACTCAGGCATACTTTTCCTGGGGAAAAGCTGTCGGGTGGGGAAGGAGGCAAAGCCGAAGACCCTAGTGTTCATAAAGGTAGGTTGGCTGGTGGGTGGGAAGGAGAAAAGGAAGGAGGAGAGGCTGTGGAGGCTGCCAGGGAGGGGAAAGAAGAAATAGTGGGGGAAGAGGAAATGAGATTCCCCCCCCCCCTTGCAATTCATTATGGGCACATAATTCTGTTGTTGAAAGTTCTGATTTGTGAGGCAAGTAAAACTTGGCCTTGGAAGATCTGTGAACTAAATAAAAGCCACAAGGTATCTGTTGGGGTATCTGTGTTTGCAGTATTTTGAGGCAGCTTGAGCACGTGAAATATGGAAAGATAATAATAAAACAGGAGTCCAGTGGCTTCTTAAAGTGGCAACTTAAAACTGTTGGAAGCTTCTCGCGCCCACTCGGAGTGAACTGATTGCTCTTTGGATTGGATCTTGCTTTGAACTGGTCTCACTGTGTAACATCCCTCCTTTCTGTTGTGTATCTGAATCATCCTCATAGATTTATCCTCCAGTGCATCCGATGAAGTGAACTCTGACCCGTGAAAGCTTATACTTGAATAATTTCTGTTTGTTTTTAAGGTGACACTGGACTCCTATTTCATTTTGCTGCTACAGGCTAACACACAGCTACTCATATAAATATGGAAATTTTCTGGTATTTATTTCATTTGGGTCACTGTACCCTGTGTTACGTATGACCTTCTTTGTCACTAAGCACAAGAAAATAAGCCAGTGCATGATACAGATATATTGCCATGTGAGGCACCAAAATTCAAGCCTATGCTATTTGATAGACCCAATTACTTTTCTTATTATTTTGCTCGGTCTTTATAGTGGTTCCAGGGCTCAGTGAGTAAAGATGACTGCATGCCAGAAGCACTGAAGAATCTCATATTTTCCAACTTTGAACCTTTGCACAAATTTCATACCACCTTTCTAAAGGAAATAGAGCAACGCCTTGCCCTTTGGTAAGTATGGCATTTATTACTACTTTAAATTAGGAATTTATGTTTCAGCGCTACATGGTCCCATGTTTTGTTCTGTAACCCACATCCTGGCGAGAGCGGGTTGACTGTCATTTCAAATCTTTGGTGCCTAAGGCCAAATTTAGATAGATGAATATTGATTTTTTTGGCTCGTTCAATGAAAAGAACTTTATATTATAAACTTAGCCAGCCTCGTCCATTTGTGCCAAAAAAAAATTTTTTTTTTACTCAGTTGCTTAAATACACCCTTCATCGTGCAGATTGGAAAAGGAGTGGGTGGTGGAAGCGTAAAAAGTTAGCTTCTGTTGTCTGTCGTCGTGCTTCCCTTTCTCCTTTTGTTCTCTGTGAAAGAAGTCCCAGGTGACTGGTTTTATTTATTTATTTATTTTATTACATTTATACCCCCGCCCTCCCCGCACGTGGGCTCAGGGCGGCTTACATAGGCACAACAGTGCAATAAAATACAACACGATTAAAACAATTTAGGCACCCAAAGTGCGATAAAATTACACAGTTAACCACTTAAAACACAATTCAGTCTTACCCCCGGGTGCTTCCGGGACTGCTGCTCCCCTAGCCCAGCCCTCTGTCCCCGACCTTGGAGAAAGGAGACAAGCCATTGAAGGGCGAGCCCCTGAATCCCCACGTCGGCAAGGTGGTGGGCCAGCAGCTGGTGGTCGACCATATCAAATGCGGCCAACAGATCTAACAACAACAGCGCCGCCACGCCGCCTCGGTCCAGATGTCTGCGGAGGTCGTCAGTAGTCTTTGTCCCATGCCCCGGGCGAAAGCCAGACTGGAATGGTTCAAGTTTTAGAGCTGTGTGGTCTGTGCTGAAAGCCCTTTGTGGTCTCAGACCACAGGACCTCCCCACCAGGCCCCACTTTTGTCCTCCCCCCCCCAATCTGCTCTGCATAGTCAGCAGACTAAGGTGGGCAGAATGAACTGCATCATTTCAGGTCGCTCACGTTGTACTTGTTACTTTACAAACTCCCTGCAAATGGAAAATGAGCACAAGCAGACAAAGGGGCTGAGCCTGTCCGGGCTAGAACCTTTCTAGTTATCTTTCTGTTTGTAGTAGATTTGGGGGGGGGGGGCGATCCAAAGTGCTGTCCCTCACCTGCAGCCTCAAGTGGCCCAGGGCAGTTTTCTGCACGTGTAAATATGGTTCCGATGATTGCAGCAGCAAGAGTGACAGGCAGAGACATGAGTGTATGAAATTGAGTGGAGATGACTAGGTGGAAGCGGAGGGAGTGTTGGCTGAGATCCTGTGAGCGGTTAGATGTGGTACAACCAGTGAAGAATGTCTCGGCACCTTTGTGTTAAACATTCACTACAAAGATTGGATGCCCTCCGCTGAATATCTGTCTGTCTATCCAGTATAAGCTGTAAACTGTTGTGCTTTCATTTCACTCTTCTACATGGTGTTTTCCAGGAGTTTTTCCACATCTAGAACAGTTAGGTTTTTGAAGACTATAATTAAAGCTCTGTGTTAGAAATTGTCCCACTGAAATTAGTGGGACTACTCTGGATCAAGCATAGAATCATAGAATCACAGAGTTGGAAGGGATCTCCAGGGTCATCTAGTCCAACCTTCTATACAGTGCAGGAAATTCACAAATACCTCCCTCTCGACACCCCCAGTGGCCACTGTTCCACACCCAGAAGATGACAAAAAACTTCCAGGATCTCCAGCCAAACTGGCCTGGGGTAAAAAAGCAGTTGGACACTGTGAAGAACGGCCTGGCAATTCTAGCTGAAGATACTAACTAGGGTGATTAATCAGGAAATTGGTTAATCTAGGTTATGAAATGGGAACCGCTGAATTAATTTAGACCAAGTTCCGTTAAAAGCTTTCTGGAGAGGATTTTGTTGTGTCAGTGCATGTCTCCATTCAGACATAGGTTTCCATAAATAATGTTCCAATTCAAAAATAAATTTCCAAGGAATACATTTCTTTTAATGTGTGATCTGATTTAAAAAGCAGCAGCAACAAAAAGCAACCTATTATCTTCATTGCACATCTCTAAATTTTCCTTGATAAAGGCATTCTATCTTCTTTAGTTCTTTACTATATTGATTAAAAGTAAGACAGTTAATCAACTGGGAGTCGGGGGAAAGGCCTGTTAGCCCTAATAGTAACAAAAGAACCTTCATCCAGGGAGCCCTTTCTCATCTAAGAAACGGTTATCAAAGGAGACATTTCTTTGCTGGCAGAAAGCTAATTAATTATTTGAGCATATTTGGTGGGATTTCTTCACCCTTTGTAATCCTCGTTCTTTTTATCTCTGGTGCAGCCTTGGAACAGGAGAGGTCCGCTGCCTTCACTTTGTAAGCAAATTGATGGAGGGAATTACAACTCTGCAGTCAGATCAGATAAATGCTAATCAGTTTAATGCTCTCATTCATTTGAAGCCAACAAACAAAGGGGGTGAATAAATATAGAATTTGTGGAAGCGCAACATCATCATGCAGATTAGAGATGTTGAAATTTCTTTTATCTTTGGAATGCCCTATCGTAAAGGACAGTTCCTTCTAAACACACTGACTCCAGAGTGCATTAACCCTGCTAGTATCAGGGTCCCTGCTTCTGTGATCCTGAGCTTTCAGCACTACTGAAATGCAAATAAGAGTGTTTCAGAGGGTGGCCAGATTGGCCTGCAGTAGAACTGCACTGATGAAGGGAGCTTTGACTCTTGGAAGCTCATACTCTGAAACTCTCGACCGGACTCGAATCTAACTGCAAATAAGGCTAAAGCTTTGATCTTATGGGGGTCTCAGTGGCTCAGAGATTAAGACACTGAGCTGCAGACCGGAAGGTCTGTAGCTAGGCAGTTCGAGACCCTAGTGACGTAGTGAGCTCCCGTCTCTAGTTCCAGCTCCTGCCAACCTAGCAGTTCAAAAGCAAGAAATTGCAAGAAGATAAATAGGTACCACTTTGGTGGGAAGGTAGCAGCGTTCCGTGCGCCTCGGCGTTTAGTCATGCCGGCCACATGACCACGGAAAAGTCTTTGGATAGCGCTAGCTCTTTGGCTTGGAAACAGGGATTGGAAACAGAGATTTACACTAACATGAGTTTCCTAAGCAACGCAAAAAGTGCTAGGAGCCGTGCAGGGTGTTGGTTGAACTTTTTGCGTGAAGTTTCCTGTTCCACTCCTGTTTTGCTTGATCGGCAAGTGAAAGTGTCCTTGGACACAGCAAGTGAAGGTGTCCTCCGTACCCACTTTAGTAAGCTATTTCCAAGGAATGGACATATTGCAGAGAAAGCCTGTGACTTAATTGTTGCCAAACAAACACTCCTCGACGAGAGTGCCACCAGGAGGATGCAGCTGTTATGAAATGCAGTTCACTAGGTATGAGAGACCCAGCCATGAACAGCTTTAAAGGTTAATAACCGGCACTCTTAACTGGGCCCGGAAGCCAATGGGTAACCAGAGCAATTCACGTGTCGCTGGAGTTCCTTGTCCTTAGCAGCTGATCTTGGACTGGAGCTTTGCATTGTGTTTTATACCAGCTAAAGCTCCCAGACCTCATCAGAAGCATTCCCACGTAGGGAGCGTTACAAAAGGTTATGTTAGCATTGATCTGCACAACTCAGTTGGCAGAATCTAGACATAATTGGAAGAAGGCATGGTTAGCAATAGCACCAACGGTCTGAACTGCACATTGCAATGTTAACAGAATTCACAGTACCATCAATTGGAGAATTAATTGCATTTCAGTGGTGCCTTCCAAATTCTTTTTCAAACTATTCTTGATGGATGTCTCCAATTTCCTGGGTCGATTTCTGGGACACCTGCCCTCAGGCCCGTGGCTACAGTGGGGCATTTCGGGGCCAGGCTCCTTGACTTTCTGCTGGGGCCCCCCAACTTACCACCCTGGCCCCCAACTTATTTCTTGCACTTGCTGCTGTTGCCGGGCTGCGGCAAGCCTCACACTGCCCTCCCCCCCCCAGCTTTCCCTTTCTTCAAGTCCCCCAAAGTGCGCCTGGCATCTCCGTGCCGGCGATTGTGCGGCACGGGCTTCTCTCTCTCTCTCTCCAGGGGACTTCACGGCATGGCTTCCCCAAGCGCAACAAGCGCCCTCCTGCCTGAAGCCCCTCATGCCCCCGCCGTCCCCCGCCCCTCCCCACAAAAGGAAAATAGAAAGTGCGGTGCCTGGGTGTCTCTCCGGGTGATCCCGCCGCTTTGCATGTGCTGAATCGAGGCCTCTCTCGCCTCTCTCTCTCCAGGCATTGTAGGGCAGCCCCAGTTCTGCAGGGCTCCCCCCACCCCCCAGCTGCTGCGCAAAAGCCCACGCACACTTTTTCCACGGGAGTAAACCAGCGGACCCTGAACTCTGAAGGATTCCCGGAGCTCAAGAGAGAACTTGGGGGAGGGGGAGGCGGTATTTAGTTGGTACCAAAGTCTTCTTTTCGGAGGAGATGCATGTTGTCGAAGATGCGGGCTTGTTCCAAAGTCAGGCTTGGAGTTAGGGGGGGGGGGGTCGGGGGGTACCAAGGGGAAGGG